CAAGTCCTTCATGGCTAGTTCGGCCGCCTGGTGCAGTTCGACCAGCTGCTTCAGCTGATCGATAAAAGGCACCGGATAGTTCGGCGCCAAATACTGCGACCAGAAGTCCCTCTCCGCAGACCCCCTCTCCTCGGTCTGGTAAAATTGGGCGGCATCTGATATGCTGCGAGGCAGATCCACAAACACCCCTGTAAAATCAAGAATTCAGCTTGCCGCTTAGAGTTCTCCCCACTATCATGTAATAACGGCCATAGATACAACATGCCTTACCAGACACAACTTTCCGGGCCTCCTGAATGTCCCATACAGCACCTCGGGCTTCTTCTCGAGCATCTTCCGCGGCTTGGAGAGCTTGGGCGAGTTCGGATTCTTTCCCTACTAGACTCTGCTCCAAGCTCTCGCTTTTCGTCATAGCCTCCTGGAGCTCCCGCTCAGTTGTGATGACCCTAGCCTCGTGTTTTTCACGAAGCGCCTGTTCGGCGGCAACCTTCTCGTGGGCATCAGCCACTGCCTTCTTCAGCGCCTCGTATTCGGCACTCGCCCCTAGGGCGTACAACATAAATACTTTTCAATAGGCGCACTTATTCATTCATGCCCAATGCAAGACAATGTTTAAACATACCTTGCTTCTCCTCTAATTTCTTCTTCACACGGCCAAGTTCTTCCTCGGCCCGTTCCAGGCTCTGCTTTAGTTCGGACACTTCCGCATCATGAGCGGCCGTCTTCTCCGCAGACGCCTGTTTTCAAACAAAGGGGTATACATCATTAAAACAAAGGTTCCCACTACAAAAGAGGGTTTGATCCCCTGCCCAACTCCCTTTTGCCGGACAGTGTATCAGGGGCTACTCCTCGTATCATGATGATTCTTCAAAGGTTCCTTAGAAACCATACCTCAAAAGTCTTTATAAGGCCAAGACAGGACTCATTCAGCCCGCTTTCGGCAGCCTGAATCTTTCCAACCACCGTACCATGAGGGTCCGATGTTCATCAACGATAGACGCGTTCTTTAACGCTGTCGATAGACCGCCCGACAGCTCTGCGTAGATAGAGGTTGTCGGTGGAGTAGGCAAACCTCCCTCCGTGGAAGGTGGCCGCTCGCCCGATTCTGGAGCCTTAGAGGCCTCCAGGACCTTATCCGGCTCTGAGTCTCTTTGAGACGACACCTCGGTGTCGCGCCTGGACTTCGGAAAAGGAGCCCCCGGAGGCGTCTCGCTCGCCACAGCATCCGAGTTCAATGAATCCTCCGATCAGGACTGTCCAGCAGGAGACCTCGTCGGGCTATACGAGATGTGGCGACAGTTAAAACTACTGTACCCAGACGACCATGGATACATAGGCGTATTCGGATTTCAGTTACTTACGATTTTCCCAGGGGCTGGGCCTTGGGATCCCACTTCGGGCTGTTATCGGTAGCCGGGGTGGATGCCTCCGGATGGGAACCCCTCCCCTTCTTGGGCGATTCGGCCTCCAGGGACGGGGAAGCCGCACGCTTCTTCCCGCCTTCAGAGTGAGGCTCGTCCTTCTCTGCTTCCTCCTCTTCGTCTTCGGAAGAAGGAGCGTCACTTGAGCCTTCGGATTTGGCGTCCAAAGCCTCGCGGCAACGGAGGCCACTCTGGGTCTTCTTGACCTTCATGGAGGCCTCCTTCTTTGGCGCCTCGTAAGGCGCAGGGACCAACATCTTCATTAGAAGAGGTCCGGTCGGTTCCTCCGGCACGGGGCCGGACAATGCATCCGCTCCACTTTCTTTATCCATTCCTGAGGTCACGATGAAACACGATTAAAATGTCTCCCTCGTGACATGCCAGCTGAAGCATGGATGGACAGGGCGTGGTTGTAACTTACCGGGCTTGCAAAATGGGATAATTGATACCCCCGGTCCTCGGCGGAGTCCGGCCATGATTTGCCGGACTTGAAGAGCACCTTCCAGATATCCTCGTGGGAGGAATCATAGAGCTCCTGAAGGGTCTGGTGCTCGGTTGGGTCGAACTCCCATAAAGTGCAGGCTCGACGCTGGCAAGGGAGAACCAGGCGAACTAGCATCACCTGGACTATGTCGACGAGTTTGACGTCCTTGTCAACCGCGCTCTGAACGCGTGTCTAGAGCAGTGATAGCTCATCGGACGAGGACCAGTTCGAGCCCTTCTTGGGCCAGGACGTGAGCCACAGTGGAGCTCCGGATCTGAACTCAGGAGCTGCAGCCCACTTTTTGCCGCGTGGTTTGGTGATATAAAACCACTGCTGCTGCCACTCCTTGACGGAGTCGTTGAAAGTGCCCTTCGGCCAAACGACCTTGGGCATCTTGCTCACCATGGCACCGCCGCACTCGGCGTGTTCGCCAGTCACCACCTTGGGCTTCACATTGAAAATCTTCAGCCACAGGCCGAAGTGAGGCGGAATCCGGAGAAAGGCCTCGCACACGATGATGAACGTCGAGATATTGAGAAAAGAGTTGGGGGAAAGATCATGAAAATCAATCCCATAGTAATACATGACTCCACGGACAAATGGGTGGAGGGGAAACCCGAGCCCGCGGACAAAATGGGGAAGGAACACGACTCTCTCATGAGGCTCCGGAGTAGGGACAACCTGTCCCGTCGGTGGGAGACGGTGGCCAATCTTCTTGGTCAGATACCCGGCTTCCCGGAGCTTCTTGATATCCTTCTCCCGGACGGTAGAGGCCATCCATCTGCCTCCTGCTCCGGATCCGGACATCTTTGGAAAACCTCTCTTCAATGGAAAGGGAGAGTGCTTGGGCGTTAGGGCTCGAGCAGAGGGGAATGAGTTAGCGGAAGGAGAAGGCGTGGGTAAAGAGGAAGAGACCTTATCTCTTTATAAGAGGTGGTAAAAGCTTTTTGCGCCTCCCCACTTTCCTGGTGGAACCCGCTCACCTCCCACTCGCCGCGATTAGCGGTGCGGTTGGATTACGCATACCCGTATTGATGAGAACCCCATGATAAGGCGACACGATCTTTGCTTCGATAAGATGTGCCAAGGAAACCGCCTTGCAATATATGCTGAGGCTGGAGGTGGGCAAACGACTCGGATATTGACCCGACCTTGATGACATGTCGCACTGTCTAGAAAGTTGTCAGCAGAGGACATTTGTGAAATATCGTTCTCTCTACGGCGGTATGTGAAGATCATCTTGCAGATCCGGACACAATCTACGTGTTCGATAATTACCTTGGAGTATTCGGATAAGGAACCCGCCTTGCAATGTTGAAGACAAGACTGCGCGCCGGACTCATCGTCATTGAAGCCTGGTTCAGGGGCTACTGAGGGAGTCCTGGATTAGGGGGTATCCGGACAGCCGGACTATATACATCATCCGGACTATTGAAGCATGAAGATACAAGACTCAAGGCTCCGGCCCGTGTCCGGATGGGACTCTCCTTTGCATGGAAGACAAGCTTGGCGATCCGGATATTATATTTCCTTCCTTGTAACCGACTCCATGTAAACCCTAGCCCTCTCCGATGTCTATATAAACCAGAGAGGATGGTCCTTAGAAGGCCGATCACAATTACAATCATACCATCATAGGCTAGCTCTTAGGGTTTAGCCTCTACGGTCTCGTGGTAGATCTACTCTTGTACTACTCATATCTTCAATATTAATCAAGCACGAAGTAGGGTTTTACCTCCATCGAGAGGGCCCGAACCTGGGTAAACATTGTGTCCCTTGCTTCCTGTTACCATCAGCCTAAGACGCACAGATCAGGACCCCCTACCCGAGATCCGCCGGTTTTGACACCGACACCATCCACTTAGGAAAATTGTTGATTGCCTACAAAACTCTGCACTGAAGGGTGTGGGGGGGCTTCTTAGTAGAGGAGGCAAGTTTTTTCTGGCGTTGTTGCGAGGGAGGCTTTGATTAATACCATATGTCCTGCACTCCTTTACTTTACTTTCTTGTTATCTATCTTGCTTAGTTACTTTTTGTTAGTTGTTTTTTGTTTTTTCACTTTCCAAAAAATTCAAAAAACACACACAAATATTTAAATTCTAGCAAGAAGTTAGTTTGTTTTAGGCTTGAAATCATGTCTACTTCTGCTGAAAACACCAAACTTTGTGGATTTACAAGTAGTAATAACGATGATTTCATTAACAAACCTATTGCTCCACTAGTCACTAGTGCTGAGTCTTACAAAATTAAGCCTGCTTTGTTGAACTTGGTAACGACTAATGAAAGATTAATTATATGGTTCTTATAATGAAGACGTTGCTTCTCACTTAAACAATTATGTTGAGCTCCATGATATCCAAAATATAAAAAAGTGAAAGCCGATATTGTCAAGTTAAAACTTTTTTCAGCCAAAAATGGATGTTAGGTGAAGATGGGGTAAGTTCTGCACGACAATTGGCTCTGACACGACTACATTTTGATTATGCGGCATCAAGTTTAACACTCCAAATAAGTAGCAGTTGGGGCCAAAAATTGGGGCTACCCAAAAGAATTTTGCATCATGTGGAGCCCTGTTTTTGACCCAAAGTGTCCTAAAACGATGGTTTTTGCGCTTGTGTCTGTACTGATGCTAAAAAAAAATGCTTCTTTTTATCATTGTTGGATGACACTCTTTGTCTTCCCGCGTCCCCACGTGCCGCCACGTGTCAGGTCAGCACCTTGTCATGCCAGCCCCAAAAGGGTCGTGTTGTGCCCGACCTTAAATTAATGCTCGGCTTTTGGGTTCGACCTTGTTCCATGGCAGGCCGAAGACCAGCCCGACCCTTTTAATCGCGTGCCGTGCCCGTCACATGTCGGGCTGAAATTCCGAGCCCATGGGCCGGCCCGCGAGGCACAACCCATATGGCCAGGTTTGAGCCCATCCTACACGTGATAAACCCGTATCCCCCGTTCTTCTCAGCTCGCTGCAACTACCACTTCCCACCAAAAACCCTAGCCGTCCAGCCCACATCTCTCTCCCTCTCTCTCCCACACACGCTAGCCCATCCCCAGATTCCTCCCCAGCACACCACCTCGCCGCAGCGGAGCCGAGCCCCATGCCGCCCAAGGCATCGAAGAAAGACGCCGAGCCGGCGGAGCGCCCCATCCTCGGCCGCTTCTCCTCCCACCTCAAGATCGGAATCGTACGCTCCCCTCTTCTCCCCCCCTCCCGCGGATTCCCCACCTTCTCCCGCGTTCTAGCGAGTGCTCGCAGGGGTTTCATCGTTGCTTACTTGGTGGGTGCGGTGGCGGTGGCGGTTGATCGGATCGACAGGAGAGCATGTGATGTCCCTGTTGCGGTCGGCTTAGTGTAATAGGGCTTTGGAGTTCTCTTGGTCCGCGCTGGCGAAGTTCGGAATCGCTTGTGGCTAGCTCGTGGCTTGTAACCTGGTGCAGATCTCATGGATTCCATGATTTTGTTGTTCTAGTTTATACGTTTCGGGGGGGCGCATGGTGCGAGTTGGGGAAACATATCGCGGGAACTGTTCTAGTGTCGGATCTGTACCCCAATTCAGGCTCAGAATGCGCCCCATTAACTTCACTACTTCTAGAATAGATCTCTTTGCTGTCTCTGTGTAACATATGAAATGTTATCCCTGCTTAAATCTTAAGTCGCTACATGCTAATAGGAGCAGGACGAATTGTAGTTTTGTCTATGTAATTCAGTCTGCTTGGGCACCACCATTAGCATGTTACTATGCACTAGTAGTACTATTGAACAAGTTTCATGAGTTGCCACTACCGCACTTCTCTAGTTGCATGATGATGTTTAACAGTACTTGCCCGTGTATCCTTTATTCGATCTCAGATTTCATTATAAATCATAATGGACTACTCTTCTGTTGAATGTTGATTGGCGCACTACTTGTTCTGCTGTAGCCAAGTAGAGGAATAAGAGGAGATATGAAGTTTATTACTGATGTTTCATGCAGGTGGGGTTACCCAATGTTGGCAAATCAACTTTCTTCAACATAGTAACAAAGTTGTCCATCCCGGCTGAGAACTTCCCATTCTGTACCATTGAACCAAATGAGGCACGGGTACATGTTCCGGACGAACGATTTGACTATCTTTGCCAACTTTTCAAGCCAAAGAGTGAGGTTTGTTTCTTTTCTCTGCTTTACACTTCTACAGTAATCTGCAGCTTCTTGGCTTATGTTTCAGATTTATATTTACTCTTGTTATTCTCTTTAGGTGGCTGCATATCTGGAAATCAATGACATAGCTGGGCTTGTTAGAGGAGCAAGTGCAGGGGAGGGTCTGGGCAATGCCTTCTTATCCCATATACGTGCTGTTGATGGAATCTTTCATGTCTTGAGTATGTCTCTATTGTAAAATGTTTATGATTCAACTACTGAATTATGCTTCTTAATAAAGTTCCCTTGGCTATTCTTATCTGTATTATATACTGTATGTTAAAAGTGAAAATTTTGGATATCTTGGTGGAGATCTAACTGAGAAGACTAAATGTTGGCATTGCAAATATTGGCAATACCAAGACTTGCCAAATATTGGCAACTTTATGTTTGATAGACAAGAAAACTTGGTAACCAACTAATCAGTAATCAATATTTGGCACAATGCCAAACATTGGCATGCCAATTTTTGGCACCAAACCAGTTACGCTCTAGGTTTTAATGTGATAGAATCTTTTGCTGTATCTGTAACTGATAGTGTGGTATGGTTTTAGGAGCATTTGAAGACACGGAAATCACTCATATTGATGATACAGTTGATCCTGTTCGTGATTTGGAAACTATTAGTCAAGAACTGAGGCTCAAGGTTTCGTTTGAGTTTTGCTTGATTTGTTCGTCAACTTAAACAACTGTTAACCTAGCTGTAACAAGGTTTTCTGTTGCACTTCCTTCTGTAGGATATAGAGTTTGTGCAGGCTAAAATTGATGACCTTGAGAAGTCAATGAAGAGGAGCAATGACAAGCAACTTAAGATAGACCATGAATTATGTCAGAGGGTAGGGCATGTTTTACAGCTCTGCTGTTTTGCACTTCTGTTTCATTTCTATCAATCAGTTAGATCTCATGAACAATTGGAATTTCTTTACTGGTATATCGTTCTTTATTCGGTAGATCGATCGGTAATTTAGTTTCAACTTTCCCTTATAACAGGTCATGGCACATCTCCAAGACGGGAAAGACGTACGTTTAGGAGAATGGAAAGCTGCTGAAATTGAGATCTTGAATGCCTTTCAGCTGCTTACTGCGAAGCCAGTTGTTTATTTGGTAATTTTTACTTATTTGGATTGGAAGAATGGTATCATCTGATTAATATGTACAGGCTTTGTTGCTTGAACTTTTTATTAGCAATGACATCATTTGATTAATTATAGTTACATGCTTGTTGCTTGAACTTCTTTACCAGCATGGCCATCTAGAATTTAGTATTTTCCCATATTTAATGCGGAATTTCAACCAATGTGATGTTTCTTAGGGTTCAATCAATGTGACACTAACCCAGCTTTGCTTGTTTTGTCTGTTTTGTTATTGCTGTCTGTCTACTTCTGCTTTCCAACATTTATTTTAAAACATTACAGAACTGACGTGCGACTGGTAATCGATCTGCCATACTCTTGGTATTTGTATAATTAGCAAGAAGTGCATGCTCCGTAGACAATTAACTGATTTTAGTCTGATCACTGGAAACATAACTACAAAAACTATTGCATGCTTCTTGGTATTGCATTAGAGTGGGGGAACCTTTATAGTTCCACATGCCAATTGTATTCCACTGTAAGGCACTGCAATTCTGTACTCCCTCCTTTCCTAAATATAAGTCTTTTTAGAGATTCAACGCGGACTACATACGGAGCAAAATGAGTGAATCTGCACTCTAAAATATGTCTATATACATCATATGTAGTCCTTATTGAAATCTCTAAAAGGACTTATATTTAGGAACGGAGGGAGTAATAGTTGAAGCAATTGTTAAAGTTGCACCTCCATGCGTGAGCAAGAACCAAAGTATGCAAAGAGGTGCCAAAATCCCAAGATATATGATGTTTCCATATGGATTCTTCATTCTTCCCTTTTTTGGGTTCAAAAGCCACATCAGGATCCCTAATAGGAATATAGGGATGGTGTGCTGTAGAAAGGGCTTGTGAAGATTAGACATTACTCACCGGTTGGCGATGGAAATGAAATGGGATGCATTAATCCTACTTGGAGAACCTACTGATTTACGCGTTATATGATGGTACATATACCTGCTGTGCATGCATCACTTGAAACTAAATTTATATTAGCAGCAAGAGGAAATATGTCTTTGATGTCTGGAATTATCCCACGTTCAGCTTGAGTAATCATGCGAAATGGACATTAATCGCTCTGCTAACTTTAGCTCATTTACTGGTTAATCCTTTGATTTGACCTTACTTCTGTCAGTAGTTGAAACAGAAATTCACCTTTTCTTTATAGGGCTTCTAAGTCTAGTATGTTATTTTGTGCAGGTGAACATGAGTGAAAAGGACTACCTGAGGAAAAAGAACAAGTTTCTACCAAAGATACATGCTTGGTATTGTTTCTACCCCAAGTCTAATGGCTATAGCAGATGAACTCATGCTATACAGAATGCAGTTCAAACTGCGAATGCCGATTTTCTGTGGAACTTCTGTTTATGTACAGTCTAATTGATGTAGCAGGATAGGTCATTTTGAAGCTAGATCGTTTCAAGTTTCCATCATTATATCTTGTTGTATATGATATTTGTTCCAACTTTGCTTGTTGAGTACATAAGCTATCTGATTTAACACATTGGGTTTATTATTTAAAAATTGTTGTCACAGAGAGAACCAATGTTTACGCTTGGACTTGGTGATTTCTGTATTTGAGGGTAGAATATCACACAATTTGTTGATCACTTACATATGAATACCAGCAAATGTCATTGGCAGTGAGTCAGGTCCCAGTGGTATGTGTCAGCACTCGGCGCTAAGGAGTACTGTCAGCACTAAGCAGGAGTTTCTATTCACGTGAACTATACCCACTTGAACAAGATAAGGACAGTAGGTCTTTTAGTTACAAAGTATATCTGTTTAGTTAGGAAAGGAGATCAGTTTAGTTTGGAAGATAAATATATCGTTTTGATTAGGAAAGTTGTGATATATGCTTTCAGCATCAATTGAAGTCTTCCCTATAATAGGGGCACGACCATATCAATTAAGCATTGAACGAGAGGTTCGGTGAAGATCTGATCACCACCCTCAAACTTCCCTCCCTCACCGCTCGTACTCACCGTCTCAGTCCTAGAACCGACCCACCATGATACTGATTGTATTTTCTGAAGTATGCTATAGGCTCTTGTCCGCAGTAAGAAATTGATATGTAGTTCATATGGTTGTGATTTTGATTAAGTCTGATGATTTTGTGTTTGATTAGCATAAACTTAATATGCATAATTTCCTACAAGAAGGGGGTATTGGAATATTAGCTAATACCTAACTATTTCTTATTCAGGGTGAAAGAACACGGTGGTGAGACTATTATTCCTTTCAGCTGTGCCTTCGAACAGAAACTAGTGGATATGCCAGAAGATGAAGCTGCTAAATATTGCGCCGAAAACCAGACAGCAAGGCAAGTCATGTAGCATAATTTTGGCTGAGTTGATTACCACAATTAAGATACTACTTTTGTACCGAAATATAAGACGTTTTTGTAGTCTAAACTAGCAATCAAGTTTATTTATTTATAACATGCATTGCATCTTCTCTTTGCATATTGCTCAACTTTTTCTGTTTAATTTATTTATACTAAATCTTTCACCAATGTGAACAGTTTGATCCCCAAAATCATCAAGACTGGTTTTGCAGCAATTCATCTCATATACTTCTTCACAGCTGGTCACGACGAGGTACATTTTATATGTTTACATTGTGCTTACTTTGTACCAGTAATATGTGTTGTATAAGCCACATTTTACTTCATTTTGCTAAAATGGTGGTACTACATCAGCCTGTTACATTTTTGGCGTGCAAAATTCACATGCTTGTTTGTTTATACATTATCAGTCTTTATTGGTTATTGCCTCTGCTCCAAAATAAGGGGCACAATCAAACTTCTAACTTCCACAATCAATATGTAAAGAATTTAATGAGATTTGACAAATGGAAATAATATCATTTTTTTCGTAATTCTGTTTTTTACTAACACATCAATAATAATGGTCAAAATTGCATCTTGTTGGCTGGTTATGTTCTAATCGGGGAGGAATGTATTAGGTTGTTAAGATGTCTGTTCGTGTTTGAAGTTTCAAGTAGGAGTTTCTGAATACATTTAACAATTTTCTGCTAGCTTATAAGCTTGAATTCTCCTTTCAGGTGAAGTGCTGGCAGATCAGACGTCAATCTAAAGCTCCGCAAGCTGCTGGTGCAATTCACACTGATTTTGAAAGAGGCTTCATATGTGCTGAGGTAGAGTCCTTTCTGAAATAGCTAGACACAATTCCTTTATTTGGAATAAATTGAACTTTAGTTGACAGTGTAGTTAATTGTTGCTGTTCTTACTATTTGCACTTTGTAGTTAATTGTTGCATGTTTTTCTGAAAAAATCTCGATGTTTACTGAAGCTTCTTTCATTATGTTAACTTGATGTATTCCTTGATAATTCTTATATATAAATCTACTCTTTTTGATCAGGTAATGAAGTTTGAAGATCTAAAAGAGCTGGGCAGTGAATCTGCTGTCAAGGTGTGCACAAACTCGTCTATGCTAGATGATTTGTATCATCAGTTGCCTTACTTTTGATCTTTAAACTCAATGTTATGAGTTACGCAACCGTTTGGCATTGATGGATTGTAGGCTGCTGGGAAGTACAGGCAGGAAGGGAAGACGTACGTGGTGCAGGATGGAGACATCATCTTCTTCAAGTTCAATGTTTCTGGAGGCGGAAAGAAGTGATGAATTCATCACAGGGTCGTGTATTTTAGCATTTTTGGGTTCACTTGCAAGTAGCCAGGTACTATCAGTACTGATTGCAGACTGCGAGGAGACTATAAGCACCAACTGGAAGGGATGAAAAATATAATTTTTCATTCGTGAGCTAGAACTGCTCTGCTCTATCGGAAAACTGGAAGTTGTAACGGTGTGACTGGACAACTTTGTCGTAATTAGGATGCAAAGTTCTTTGTTATGCAATTCTACCGTTGTTGCATGTGTAGCTCCATAATTCTTACTGATACTTTACAAAGAAAATTACTTTAATTACTTTTTGGATATATTGCCTCTTAAATTGATTTGAGTACCTCTCCATCCATGAGAGGAAAAAGAGACAAAATCACATGCCTGCACTGATTAAATGTGGCGCTCAAGTGAAACATATCTTAGGGTTCATAATATCTTAGTATTGAGCTCTAAATTTTAGTTGGTGCGCATTGTTTTTTTTATAGTAAATCTTCATGAACGTTCATCAAGTTTATTAAAAAGAGTATCCATGTCTGCAATATCAAAGACTATCTTTGATTCAAACAATTTAAGTTCTGGGTTTGTCACAAGTCAAACTTGTTTTAGTTTGACCAAGTCTATCGAAACATATATTAACATGTAGAACACCAAGTTAGTCTCATGAGATCATATTTCAATATTATCAGTATTTGGTGTTGTAAATCATATTTTTCTAGAGTTGCTCAAACTAAAGCAAGTTTGACTTATGACAAATCTATGACTTTGATTGTTTTGGAACGAGAGACCATATGAAAATATATTGATAAATCTTATGGTATTGATTAGGTATTCTAGATGTTGATAACTTTTTCTACGAACTTGCTCAAACCTTGCAAGTTTTGGCATTGAAG